AAAATCTTTAAAAAATTGTATACATTTTATTCATTAAACTGTTTCAACTCTGCATGTTGGATAAAAGGCAAGGTTTTTAAAGAATACTTGAAAAATATTGTAGGAAAGCAGTGTTGGGCTGTACTGATTAAAAGCAAGTGTCTTTCTCCAACAGTCTACACAGTGAGTATTTATTTATTTAAGTGATTTATAGAGCCATCCATCCCACAGCAGTGATTCTGGACAGCATGTAAAGATTAAAGCCACCACCACAATATATTACCTCGGTTTACACCTTGGTTAAAGCAACAACCCCCACCCCAAACAAAAAGCCCACATCACCAGCAGAGGTTGCCTAATCTCCTGGTCCAAATTCCTGAGGGCCAGGTCTTCAGAGCCTTATGAAAGGCTAACAGGATCAGGAGTATCCAGATCTCTGGTGGGATGCTGTGCAAAAGCCTAGGACCTTTTTTAGGATCTACTTGAACTCCCATTCAAAACATGAGGCCTTGTATAATGCTTAGGTTAAAGAAATCAGTTTTCCTATTACTACTGAGGCTTGTATGAAGCATAGCCTGGTCTCTTACTACATCTATTTGGTCTGTGGGAATTACGGTTCACACACTCATTCCCCTTTTTCAAATGTTGGATTCTGTCTGTTTTATTTATTTGTAGACCACTATATTTGAATGCCTTTGAAGTGACTAAAAATCTTTAAAGGAAAGGGCCAAAATATCCCATTTCTTTTAGCCAGAAAAGGTGCTACCAGATTCCTTCTGATTTGGGGTTACAAGCTGTCCTACAGTATCCAGAGCATTCACAGTAATCAGATTTTGTAGGTCTATACCCCTGATAATATCTCAGAATTAAAAAGCATGATTATTTTAAGAGTACCAGAAAGATGTTGCTAATCTTGTATTAGTTTATTAACTGAGTAAAGTATCATGCAGTATGTCTACCATTCAGAGAAAATGAACACTACAATCCTAGATGTGTTTACTTAGTGATCGGTCCATATTCTTTTTTTCTGTTGCATCACCGGTCTTGGCAGAACGTAGGTTTCACTTTTGTGAGTACCTTGAGATCCTGGGTATAAAAGACTTAAATCTGTATCTTCTTTTTTTATTATTCCTAATTCTGAAGATGAATAGTTGGAATGAACTACCTGACCCCCAGATATTAAATATTAAAATTTTAGATTTTTCACATTTCACTAGTATAATTTAGAGCGCATAAGGAATAATTTTTTATTTAAACAAAAGAGGCGGCAATCCTTGCTGATCGTCCTTCTGCTAGTTCCTATTGTACGACATATACATTAGTTTGTTGAACGGAGACATTAATTTTGAATGTGCACGTTCACTAACTTTTCTACAATTTACTTATTTTTGGTATTAAATTCTATCCTTCGTGATTAGTGTGTTCAAGCTGTAGCTCTCTGGGTTGCTTGGGGACTGTCAGTATAAGACGGCTGCAGATACAGATGAAAACACTCCTCGTCTAACATATTAAAAATGACATACTGCTGCTTTCAGCTGGCTAACTGGCAGTTAGCAATGTGTCGACTAACCCAGGCTTTTTGTTCATAGAAGGGGATGAGTGCCATCAGACTGAGTCGTGTGCCAGTTTTGTATAACTACCCAAGCTTATGAAATAATTTCAGTTCAAATCACTGATTTGCATCTCTTTCATTCAGATAAGAACTGGGAAAAATTTGTTTCCTTCCAGGAGAAAATGGGAATTATGCTCATCTTTGTAGTAGCCGCATTCTTTTCGTCTCATATATTTTGTCAGAAAGACTGCTGAGTTTTATATGTGGAATAACAGCTCAGCCTAAATAAACACCAGCTCCTAAATGGCAGCATAATAAAAACACTGGTAAGAGGAGGACAATGAAGTAGAATTCATGCTACACAACTGCATT